AAAAAAAAAAAAAAAAGGCAAGTGACTTCCAATGGTTGTAAGCAAACCAGACGTAGTTGGAGGAAGAAAAACATTTCGTCTCCCAGTTCTCTTCTCACGATGGGAAAGGTCCTACTTCTCATACCCCAACTCAGAACTTGTCAATGTGTCTGTTATCAGTTTACCACTGGGTTAGGCTATATAGAATGATATTTGTCTGGAAAAGAGAATTTTGAGTACTCGGTTGGACAGTGGTATGTGTTATCAATTGCTGAGATTTAGAGCATGTTTGTTTGATCCTGAGGGCAAGATATTAGGGAAGAAAAAGGGAAATTCCCCAAACTGGACATCCCAACCCTATACAATAGATCTTAGCAACATAGCTAACTAACCCTATCGTCTTTGACCATACTTGGTTGCCAAACAGAACCTACATCTGACACATGTACACATTCCACCTTAGAGTAAAATGTATTCATGTATTTTAATAATAATTGGGATACTATTTTGACACTTTATTAAATGTTTGGAACAGTTGTACAGATCTTCCATCAGAAATACACAGCAATACTGCTAGTCAGAACAAAATCCCTTAACTGCTTTCTGAACTTAATCTTGGGAGGGTAAAATTAGAAATCAGAAAGTTAGGTTAAAAAATGATGGTTGTATGAATCAGCACCACTTCATCCATACTGGTAGTACAATTTTTTGCATGTTTTTTGTAATGCTTCCCACTAAAATTGTTCCATAAACGGAATAAAACAATCATCTTATTTACTGTCATTTGTCATGTATATTGACCAAGATGAGCAGCATTAGAACTCTTAATAAGTGGCAGGGGAAGAGAATTTAAAAGATGCTAAAACCCTATTGTTGAGTTCAACAAATCCTGCCATTTATTAGTTGAGGAGGCTTGAGCCAACCGCTTAACTACTTGGAGCCTGAGTTGCCTCATCTATAAAAACAGGGCTCTGTTGAAAAACAATCAGAACCCCCATATTTTCCAGGACCCTTTCCCTCCCAATCCTATCTCCCCATTCAGCTCTAAGCTTGGCTGCCCAGTCTGTGCCACTCACACAGACCGCCTTCTGTGCACCTTACAATGATAACCCCGCGGCCGGTTTCTCCGCCACGAGGCCCCGCCTCCCTCCCGCGAGGCTCTTCCGGGGGCGAAGCTTAGCCCCGCCCATGCGGAGCCTTGGCCGCCGGCACCGCCCCCTCCGCGCGTCCGCGTGCCGCAGCCCGCGCCGCCTTCCGCCGCCGCGCGCCTCCGCTGCCCCGCGCCGGTGTCGCCGCCGCCTCTCTCGTAGGCTGTCCGGGTGCGGGGGCCCGGCTCCTCCTGGAGGAGGGCACAGCCGGCGCCGCCGCCGTTCGGGCCCGGGCCCGGGTCTCGGCCCCTGCCCCGCCCCGGGCCCTGGCTGCAGACCCCCGTCCGGCCCGGCGATGAAGTGTCACTACGAGGCGCTGGGGGTGCGGCGCGACGCCAGCGAGGAGGAACTCAAGAAGGCCTATCGGAAACTGGCCCTGAAATGGCACCCGGGTAGGTGACCACCCGCCGCCGCGGGCCCTGAGGAAGCCCGGCGCCCTCCTCACGCCTCCCGCGTACTCCGGCGGCCTGCGGGGCGAGCTGTCCGGGCCGCCCTCGGGGACGCAGCCCCGCCCAGCCCTCTTCCCGGGCGCCCCGTCTCTCCCCGCGTGGCCGCCCGCGGGGAACCAGGTTCGGGCACCTCTCCGGCCCCCAGCGAGGGAGGAGACTACTCCGTCCAGACCTCAACCTGTGGGATCTGATTGCTCCGCTTCCGCCGCCTCCTGTCGCTCTTAACTCCGCCGGGGATCCCAGCTGCTTCAGCTTAATTTATGGCTCCTCTCTTACTGAAATAAGACCGGGGAGCTAGTAAAACGTCTTTTAAATAAGGATGCGTGCTGTTTTTTCTTTTAACAGGCTGGTCACGCAAGCCCCGTGCTTCAGTTTGGTCACGATTCTTCACATTAACAGTTCTAATTAGGTGTCTTACCTGGTGAAGTTTGCATGTTTCCTTCGAGGTGTGTTTCCTTTGGAATTTTACTTGGTTATAATCCAGGCCTGTGTGACTTTTATGAAGTAATCTGATCTTCCAGCCTGGGAACCTAAGACATTAGTAGAATCTGTTGTTTGAGGCTTTCATCTTAGCATTAATCAGTAAACATGGTTAGAGAGTCGCCAATACACGTTATGTGTAGTGTGTAGATTCTGAAGTGCTGAGACAGGGACCTCAAAATCTGATTGAGAAAACATGCTGTAACACACACGAAGAGTTAACTACAAGTGTAGGCAAAATAGCACAAAGTACATAATTGGTAGTTGGATTAATAGTATAACTAGTACATGCCTCAGGGATTCAGGGAGCATATTATCCCTACGAAGTGAAAGACACCGACGCTTCCGCACAGAGGAGCTTGGCTGGATTCTATGGTATTTAAATGTGGAGGAGTGAACATTGTGCTGTGAGGTGACAGTTTGACTAAAGGGAGTGCTTATGGGGAGTCTGAAAAACAAGAGTTGGGTGTCAGCAGAAGTGTAGGGCCCCAGAGTCAGAAGGGTTGTGTATGGTTGATGGAATAAGAAATACAGGTAAAGGT